GGCGCGGAAATCAGATTCATTTCGCACATTGCCGACTTCGCTAATCAGCAAGGACCCCGACTAGAAAAGATGCAACCAGGTCCGAGCCCACCCGGTCCTCGACTGGATTCGGCAGTTTTGACCGCACCACCGGCTGCGGGGCCCTGCCAGACTGCACGCCTTGCAGAAAATCATAACAGCCATCTACCAGCAAGGTCCGCTGGAGCTCAGTCAGCTCAACATCAAGCACTGCACCCACCGAGTCAGAAACATGTTCGTGCGGGGAGCCTTATTGTAGATGCCTCGAGGTTGCAGCCGATCGATTCACTAGCCACAAAATGCGCAATCTGTAAGCAAACGCTGATAGCAAAACATGCCGATGGGTACCGGTTGTCGTTTCCAAAGTCGCATCTGCTGAAGGGGTTTGCGGTTACCGAGCAGAACTCGAGGGTCAGTGGGCAACGGAAGGAAGAACCCCTTTGCTTGCAATGTGTGGGCCGGCATATCGGCCCCGTATCAGAGTCAGCGGACGGTCTTGTGATCTCTGTTGCCAGGTTAGACTGGGCAGGGCCAGATGAGGTCTTGTTTCAGCGCTCCTCAAAAGCGCAGCCATGGCGCCAGCTGAAAGCGCTGCTGGGAGAGAAGCTGAAGCCCCTCATTCTCAAGGATCAGGAAGCGAAGCAAGAGTTTGGGGGGCGGCGTGGTAGTACTGCAGCTGAGGCTGCACTCAACAGAGGGCGGAGAGCAGGGGAGGTCCCGAGAGCAAACGCCCCCTCAACGGTGAGAGTTCGAGTGCCCCAGTCCAACGTGCTCAATGTTTGAAATCAGTCTTGCAGGACTTGTTGCTCGTCGTGGTTTTGCTTTGCGTCTGTGTGGCAATGCACTTTGAGAATGTGAGTTGCTTTTGTCATATACGATACTTGCACGGCAACGTTTTAGCAGCGCTCGCACTCTGATCTGTGACTGCACCATGCAAAGCTTGACATAGTTAGCGGTTAAAACGATGTGAAGAGCAAAATGACATGTTCACCGCTTGTTGCATGATGAGTTTCTGGAAATGGAACCCCAGAAGGCAGCTGAAAGTCGCACTTGTGTGCACGGCTGGCAGCACTGAAGAGGGTCAACTTATGGCTGTGATTATTTATGTGCAGGAGAGCCGCAGCCAAGCTTTGCCCACGGACTCCCGCGACGCCGATGGCCGCCTTACCATCGCTTCGCAAGCTGCCAAGTTCACCGACGGCATCAAAGAAGGGCAGTGCGTCTTGTACAGTGTTGGAGAAGAGGACTCTCCGAGCACAGTGTACCTTGGCACTGCTTGGGATCACAACAATGCAAGACCAAAGCCGCTGGGACGGCCGAGCAAGGTGCGGGCGCTGCTCGAAACGGTCCATTGGGACACAAGAGGGGTCCCAAGCTGCACGTGTGATCGGGGGCGGCTGTACTTCAACGCCCCATGCGTGCACAAGCTCGCGCTGCAGGCGCTGGAAAGACCAAGGCAAGCAAGCCACATCTCTCTGCAGAAGGGGCCCAGGGTGGTTGAGGCACCTTGCAGACCAGGCGAGAGAGTCTTCGGCGTGCATTGGAACGCAGCGTCCTCCTCGCCGCGAAGGACCATGGTGCACTTTGGCGCCAGCGAGCAGTTCCCTTGGTACTGCGAAGGAAGACAAAGCGGTTGTTCAAAGACCGCTGACTGCAGCCACATCCTAGAGGTGAAGAGAGCCTTGCAGCGCCCAGATGGGGTTCACAGAGTGAGCGGGTGTCTCTTTTCGGAGGCGCAGCTTGAGCGGGCCCTAGTTTCCGTTCATCACGGGGGAAATGTCGTGCGAGTTGGGGCAGGGGGTGCAGCAGAGAACGGCGTGCCTGCGGGATGCGATGACACTCATGCATCAGGTCCGAATGAAGCCCCGGGCTCCCCTTCGGAGGACGCACCCCAAGAGCTGGAACAGTATCTCCTCGAGCTGGTCACTGGCGGCCACCACGAGGCGACCTGCAAGGGGGAGACCTGCTTCTGCAAGCAGCATCCTAGGTTGTTTGGCGGGGTTGTTATGGACGTCGGGGCGTGCCACACGCCAGGGTGTTGCAGCTCTGCGTCTGCAAGCGGGAAGCGGGCTCGATCGGAGCAAGTGGATGGGAGCGCACCTGCTGAGGGAAAGCCAGGGGTGAAGCGGAGGAGCAAAGCGTTTTGGGCCGCCAAGGGGCGCGACGCAGCAGAGCCAATGGCAGCAGACGGCGCGCGCAGCTGCGAAGAAGAGGCCGAGAGCTGCAGTGGTGTTGGTGTGGGGAAGCATGGCGAGGTCATGGTCCCGGTGTGCACGAGCTGCGCTTGTCCTTCCAGGGCGTGCACCCATGGCGCATCAGGGCGCGTCGCAGTGGTGCTTCCTATGGAGGCAGAGGGGGTCCAGGTCGAGATCCCCAAGCTGGTGCGCCCGGTGGACAGCTGGGATGTCCACGACCCTGAGGTCATCCTATTGCGCCAACCTGTGAGGGTCAGCGAGCTGGTGGGGCAGGACTTTGCAGAGCTCAGCGCGATGGAGTGTCTGTCCGCCCCTTGCCCCAGGGCGCCTCCCCCCTGCAAGACTGGATGGATGGGGCTTTGGCAATCCGCGCACATCTACTCCCTGCAGTGGGCTCAAGAGGTGAGACCGTATGGACGTCCAGGCATGTTGCGCGGAAGTTGCGCATAGAAGCGTGTTTCCTTGCATCGAGAAGGCGCTGTAGAAACTGACGCCCGCTTGACCTGCTGTCAGGGCTCTTGAGCGTATGGTTTTAGTCACAAAGGAGTCCTTTTTCTATAAAGATCTGATAGCGACTATTGACTGCGGCTCTGCTGTCGTGGCAAGCGGGTCAGAATAGCGGGCTCACTGTCAGTCAAAAAGGAGTCTCTTTTATATGATGATAAGCGGGCTACTTCTGACTCAGCTCTGGTGACGTGGAAAGCGGGTCGGAGTGCGGCGGACTCAGTCAAAGAGGAGCCTCTTTTCTTTGGAGATCAGAGGGCGACTTTGACTGCGGATAAATGTTGACGTGCTCACTATCAGTCAAAAAGGAGTTGCTTTTCTATAGAGATCAGATGGCGACTATTGACTGCGGCTGGTTGGAAAAAGGGCACGTGCCCCGCGTCCAGCCCTGATTGCTTTCCTGATGATGGTTTCCTTATCACAACCTTCCTTCTCTGCAGGT